ACATATCGTGATATGAAAAAATCTCATATCGCCCAGCTCTACTACTTGTGCATTTCTTCCCTTCCCACCCTTTTTACTCACATTGGCTCCGCCCCATTCAGTGTATGCACAAACAGCTAACTGCCTGTATGTTTTGTGTGTGTTTGCAACCTCTCCTCTTCACACTTCACCGTCTGCCTTTTCATATCTACATAATCGAATGCAAAGGTATGTGCTGACTCCATCCACGCATCTGGACTTCTAAGTCTTCAGCACCAAGTTTCAAGTTTATTCATTTATAATGCACTTTCAAAAACAACAGTTGTTGACCAAAGTACTGCACAATAACACAGTCATAGCAAATAAAACAGACTATAGATTAAGAGAAAATGGAATCATGAAAAGAACAATAGAAACAGACTCATCTTGACTTTAAAGCCAGAGAGTAAAAGTGGTGTTTAGACGGGTTTGACGGTCTCCAGTGTTGGAGAGGTCCTGACATGCAGCAGCAATGAGCTCCATAACTTAGGAGCGGTCACGGCAAATGCCCGGTCTCTGTGTTTCAACCTCGACCTTGGGACTTGGGATCTTGGGGGAGAATATCGGGTTAGGAAATCAGGAAGATATATATGTAACGTCTTAAAAACAAGTGTTAAAATGTTAAAATGAATTCAAAAGCTGACAGGCAGCCAGTGTATTGATGCAAGTATGGCAGATATGTGATCCCAGTTAGGAGCCGTGCTGCAGCGTTTTGGACTAGCTGCAGTCGGCCAATTGATGTAGAGGTAATACCAGAGTAGAGGCTATTACGGAAGTCGAGACGAGATGAAGGCAGGGATCGCTTTCTCAAAATCTCTGAAGCAGAGAAAAGGCTTTTGCAAGGAGGCGGAGATGAAAGAAGCCAGTCTTGATTACCTTATTTATCTGTTTCACAGATTTTCATTTCAGGGGAAGACAAATCTGAGTCATCTGTGTAGCAATGGAACGAGAGGTCATATTTATTTTAAACTGAGCCCATTGGAAGCATTTCGATTGAAAAAAGGATAGAGCCCTGGAGGACCCCACAGGAAAGCACGGTCTTTGGGGATAATGAGTCTCTGAGATTAACAGAGAAGGCTCGATTAGATAAGAAGGATTTAAACCATTCCACAACAATCCCTTTTATTCCAACGTGTTGTTCCAGTCTAGAGATGAAGGCTGGGATCTACTCTATCAAAAGCAGAATTTAGATCTAATAATATTAGGATGGCAGGGTCTCCAGAGTCAGTAAAAGTTAAAAGGTCATTAAAACCCTTTGAAAGAGCAGATCAGTGCTGTGGTGCGTTTTAAAACCAGACTGGAACAATGTTGTGTTGATCTAAAGAGGGCTGGAGCTGGATAAGGACGATTTTCTCCAGGACTTTTGACAAAAAGGGCAATTTAGAGAGTGGTCTGTAATTTGATAAAATTGTTGCGTCCAGATTCTGCTTTTTAAGGATGGTTCCACCACAGCATGTTTAAAATCAGAGGGGACGGACTCAGACTGCTATTAACAATAGAAAGCAAACATATACAAGCAGATTAACAAACTTCTTTCAGTAAGCTAGGTGGAATAATATCCAAAATACATTTTGAGGGCTTCAAGTTACTGACTACTTCATTAAGTAATGCATGATTTAGATTTTTATGGGAGCAGGTGAAACGATATAAGAATTGATCATACGAGATCGGAGTTTGGGCATAACTGATCTACTAGACTGACCTGAAAGAGGAAACTCAAACAGTACAGGCATACGGAGTGACAGCCCGTAAGAAAGTACAAGATCCAGGGTATGACCGTTCATGAGTTGGGCCTTTGACTGACTGAACAAGATTAAAAGAGTCTATGAGATTTAAAAAATCAGCAGTCAGCGGAGTATTTGCGCAGCAAACATGAATATTAAAATCCCCTACAATTAAAACACTGTCGTACTTTGGTAAAATTCCTGCCCAGAATTCAGAAAAGTCTAGTATAAAGTTCTTATTATATTTAGGTCTGTACACCAGCACACATAGCACTGGTGTGGGCCGGTGTAATTCAAATAGCTGCAGTTCAAAGCTGCCAAAAGCGTCAGCTGTTAATTGCCGACAGTTAAAACAGTTTTTATAAACAGCAGCTAATCCTCCGCCTCAACCGGTCGTTCGGGGCGAATTGAGGCAGTTGCAGTCTGGGGGGACAAGTTCAGAGAGCGGGCTCAACTCACCAAGTTCAGCCAAGTTTCGGTCACCAGGAGAAAATCCAAGTTACGAGTGGTGAAAAAGTCATTTAAAATAATGGTTTTATTGGCTAGCGACCTAGCGTTAACCAGGGCCAGTTTAGCTTGCACAGGGTTCCCTGCCGGCTGAGATGATCGGCATAATCCACTCCACCTCTGCAAAAACGTGGGGCCGGATGCCGTGGGCAAGGGGGTGGAACTCCAGGTCTCGAGGGCCAGTGTCCTGCAGGTTTTAGATCTCACCTGAATCAAATGATTAAATCATTACCAGGCCTCAGGAGAACTTCAAGACATGTTGAGGAGGTCATTTAGGCATTTAAATCAGCTGTGTTGGATCAAGGACACGTCTAAAACCTGCAGGAAACCAGCTCTCGAGGCCTGGAGTTGGACACCTGTGCTGTAGGCTCTGGATATTATGATGTGGAGTCACCGGTATGATCCAACGAGGAGCCGATGCAAGGGAATGCCAGCAAACAAATCGCTTGTTGTCCAGGGAGAGGTTCTTGAGTAGTCATCGGTAATGTAGCCGGGCATATCGCCACACAGTTTTTGAGTTTGACCAGTATTCCAGCCCGTCTCCCTCGCCTCCTGTGGCACTTCTTCCTGAGGGGAAGGCTAGGTGGATAACGGCGGAGAGACAATGGTACGGTTTCTACCACAGGTGGGACATCCAGGGGGCCTTTGATACTGCTCCTCAACGGTGGTTTGGATTTTTAATAACAATTCGAATGTCATAGACCAAAGAAAACGGATGCTAGTAGAAACAACACCGAGAACAGCTGACGGCAAGCTGCACACACAGGCGCCATCTTTTTTGCATTCACTTTGAAGCACACCTATTTAAATAGACTTGAAATGAGTAGATATGGTTCTGTTTACTTCAGCTGCAGCTAATAGTGTGCTCTTAGGAATGAAAATGTCCTCTGACACTGAGGAATATAACAAAACATTTGTCCCAGAATTCAGAGGATTCGTGTTACCGTCATGTTCAGATACAACCTGACCTTCAGCAGTTTTTTAAAGAGCAGATTACAACCAGAGACCTAAGTCAGGAGCATATCTGCTGACTTAGGTCTCTGGTTGTACCCTGACTTATATGCCTGATTTTCCATGGTCCTGTGTTCCCCGAGTCCTGCGTTTAAGGAACCCTGTTTCTGAGTAACTCTGCTGCAGCTTTGGATCCACAGCTCAAACCCAGGTCGCTTTAAGCAGATGAAGAGCTTTATATTCCCGTTGGTGCTTTATAAAGCTGGGAGAGCACTGGTGACTACACTGGTAAACCAGAATCTCATGTCCGTAGCAACCACAGGAATCTTGGAAAGTTAGGAACGTGTTGACATGCACACATGGTGTTTGTGCTCCCTGAGCTTGGCTCGGCCTTCCAGCCGTATGCAATAAACAGATCAGATGCTTTGGCTGCTGCGTTTGTGTGTCCAGCAGCGCTGCTGTTAAACCAACACTTTACGTACAGTTTTAGCATTTGAACATGCTGTTCACCACCTAATTCCTGGACGTTGATCCCGACCAGAACAGAACTTTAAAGATTATGAATGTCCTGCCGTGCGGGTTGATATCATGGGCTTCACAGGTTTCATGCTTGTGTTTTTCCTGTGTGCTTCAGTTCAGACAGGTCCTTCACGCCCACTCACCACAGCTACTACTCTTCTAAACATGAAGGCATGATGGAGGAGATGCTCACCAGTCACCAGGTACGCCGCATCATCACACAGATCACTAATTCTGTGCATTTTTTAATGTTTATTAATAAGATTTTAAGTTCAAAGTTACATAACGTCAAACCAAACACAAACACACAACAACAAAAAACACAAACAGGAAAACAGGAAAGAAAAGGAAAAAAATAAAAATAAAAAAATACACCAGTTAGCCAGTACAAATCAAAAGTTCAAAAGAAACACCAGTGTCCAAAGATGATCTTCTGTGTGAGTTTAGACAGGGCAACAGAGAGTTCACCAAGTCCAGAAGATGTGGGAAACATGTCCAGGAAGGAGTCAGGGTTTCACACAAACACAAAGTGCCGTCAAATGGGTTAAAATTTACGTTAAGTTCCCATTAATATGATCGAGAAAAGGGCCCCAGATTTCGACAAACTTAAAATGGGTGTCAGCCAAACGATAACCAACCTCTTCAATATACAAACAAGCAATCATCTCACGTAGCCAAACCCTGAACACTGGAGGAGATGGTGATTTCCAGGCTCTAAGAAGAAGTCTTCTAGCTACAATCATGCCAAACATTAAGGCTTTCTGAAGAGGACGTCTGAGTGCCGATGAGGTTAGGGAGCCTAGCGCTGCAAGTACACCATCCGGCTCTAATTTTAAGTCATAAATATATATTAAATATCTCTGCCCAGAAACTCCCGAGTGTAGGGCAAGACCAGAAAAGGTGACCAAGGGTTCCCTCCATTGCTTTGCATCTGTCCCACAAAGACGAAAAATGCTGCATAGCTTTGTTTCAGAAAAATGCAGACGATGAAGGACCTTGAACTGTATAAGTTGTAGTCTGGCATTAACAGAGCGTTCTTTAATCTTCTTCAACCCATTCGCCCACAAAGCGTCCGATATGTCTACTTCCAAGTCCTTAACCCAAGCGTCCTTGATGTGGTTAGCAGGTGGTATAAGTGTAAAAAGTGTAGTAAATTATTCTGTGGATTTTTAAAACGATGCCGTGGGACGATGTTAACCTAAAGGTTGGGAATTATGACACTCGAGTGACGCTCAGGCTGTGGCTGTGGACTGTACTGTTAACCACTCTGAAGTGCTTTGATTCTCAGCTACTTTAGTCTGCACATCAATCTGTGAGTAAGATGTTGTGTGAGGATGTTTAGCACCTGGAGGAATTAGAGTTAGAGCAGAGGAGTTCTGTGTAAGCACCAGTCCATTGATCCAGCCTGGAGGCGGTGTTGCCTTGCAGCAACCATCTGACCCTTTCTGTGTGGAGTTTGCATGTTCCCCTTGTGTCTTCCTGGGTTCTCTCGGGTACTCTGGCTTCCTCCCACACTCCAAAGACATGCAGTTAGTGGGGTTGGGTTCACTGGTGAATCTAAACTGTTTGTATGTGAGTACGGTAAAGACGAGGATGGATCAATGAAAGAAGGGCTGAGGGAGCCTGATTTCTGTTTGTCAGACTTAACACATCTGAGCTCTCAGGATTCAGCCTTAGAAGGGCTGCAACACCACCCGACCCACTCCTCCACCCACGGTTCTGCTGTTTTGTATGGGGATTATATTTCTGTCAAATTCAGGAGCAAGTATATCCCATGATCTTCTCAAGGCCCTAGATGACTGGTCTCTGATAAGAAGTTTGTTTCGTTCCAGGTTTCATCCCTTGCCAGGGAGACTGAGAGGGATTCGTACCGGTTGAGCTGGGGCACAGAGAACCTGGACAACGTGGCTTTGTCCTCCAGCCCTGTCCATTCAGGGTAAGCACAGCAGCACTGAAGGAAAGTCGTAAACAGCATTTACAGAGTTCTGTGAATAAACTGTTTTCTGTGGATCTTCGTAGATGGAAATCCTGCTGAGCCCTGTTCTTTTCCTTCTGCTGGTTTTTTACACTTGCTGGGATTTCTCCCTCTCTGATTTCTTCTGCCTGACTTGTGATTCCTCTCTGTCTGTTGTGGTTGTTGTTTTAGCCACTCCTCTCCGTGCCATGATCATGGAGACCACAGCAGGTGACCTTCTGCACCTTGGTTCCACCTCATTCCCCTTCATCACCGTCCTTCTCCGCTCAATGTGCTCTCCCTATGGAGAGGTGTATGTGTTGCACCGTCCTCGACAGACAACATCTCGTGTATATTCCTGTATTCTCAGCCTGAACGTAAATTAAACATAAACTCTCTGAATAATTTTACAAAGACACTGCAAGTTCAGGAAAACACAGTTTAGATAAGGTTGAAGGTTGAGGACATGTTTGTCGACTTCATTCAGTGTCTCGTGAACTGTGCATTTCTACTAACATGCCACGTGGTGTGGAGACTATTAGAATAAACTTACAGTTTACTCTAATCTCGTCTTCTAACATTAATTTAACAGCTGTTTCAAGTCTGTCGTTGGGTTTTCTAACCTGGTTGTTTGTTTGGCTGAAGCTGAGCCAAGAACCGTCTTTAGTGTCATATCGTCATTTCATCACAGTCGGTCTTTACCCCGCTGGGATGTGTGATCCATACGCATACTTGTGACTGTGCATGGAGAGCGAAGGTCAAACCTGAATGCAGAGCAGCCCTCGTCCATTCAGTGTTGAGAAAACAGAAACCGAAGGTTGAGCGAACGTTAGCTACCATGCTACAATCATAGAGTTGTCCGTGGTAATAAGTAGTCTATGTTAAAGTGCAGCTATCCTTTTTTGTAACATCTCTATTTGAAGATTAAACATAGCAAAGAAAACGCATTGTTCTGGTCTGCTGTTTCCACGAGCATAGATTGGCTAATGCTACGTGATGTGAGCTAGCTTAAGTTTCCTATTACTGACCTCGCTGAATCAGTTCACTAAAGTTAAGACTATGCTATAGTTGTGCTGTTGTTGCTACACGGTCTAAGACAAATAAGCTCACTTAGAAAAAACCATAAATAAATATAGTTCATGAAGAAAGTGTGTTTGCTTCTTTAGAGAAGTTTGATGAACAAAAGTGTCCCAGGCCAACACGCCGACAGGATCTTCCTTAGTCCTCATATCTCGTGCTTTCTTGAGTCTTAACGGGGCCTTCAAATACGTAGTTAACGACTTAACTGTTGCTTGTGTTCAAAAACTCGAGCAAGTAAACAGCTGTGGTCCTTCGTGTAAGTGTGCATCTTACAAACTGTTCAAACCAAACAAAGCTTTGCCGTCTGCTTTCTCACCACTTAATGGAGCTGAATTAGACTGAACTGGATAATATTGGCGTCTCATTCGTGCATGTATCTCCTGCTTCCTCTCAGCTTCCTGGTCAGCTTCATGGTAGACGCCAGGGGCGGAGCCATGCGCGGCTGTCGACACAACGGCCTCCGCATCATCATCCCGCCGAGGAAGTGCAGCGCCCCGACGAGAGTGACGTGCCGACTGGTGAAGAGGCACCGTCTGGCCACCATGCCCCCGATGGTTGAGGGGGAGGGTCTGGCCAGCAGGCTCATCGAGGTGGGACCCTCTGGAGCCCAGTTCCTTGGGTAAGACAGGACTAATGATTGTAGAAGCTTCTGGATGTGTGGAGGTTAACACTTAAAGTCTATTTATGGCACCAAATGCCAACAAATGCCTCAAGGCGCCTTACACATACAGATGATATAATATTATTTGCTAGTAGCTTTGAATATTTTATGGCAGTAAGTTTCCAGGCAGGACGAAAAGTGCTTCTTTTCTTTGAACATCTATCCTGTTATTAATTTGTATCCCGTATAAATGCAAAGGTTACAAAGTGCTGCCCTTTTTCTTTCAGATTAATTTGCCAGCCTCTGCCTGACTCAGACTGTCTCTGTATTTGCTCTCGCTTCCTCCCAGTGCCAGCGGTCTGCCAGCATGGCCTGTTTATTTTCATAACAGCTGCAGCGCGACTCTTTCTAACCTTTCTCCCTAACACTTGATGAAGCAGCTTTTCTGATTAACTCCAGCTGCAGTGTCTCGCACCATGATTGGTTTGATATGTGGACTGAAACTCTGCCCTCTGCTGGTAACGTTTGAGATGGTCACAGTTACAGATTTGCTGCAGACGACAGAAGTTTTTGCTGTGATGTGAAATGTTTCTGCAGCTCTGCAGTGAAACTAGCCCCACACGGCCACAATGATGAGCTCATTTCAAATAAACAGATTTAATTTGAATAAAAATGCAGAATAATAGTCTAACAGATTCAAACTGGCTTTATCAGAGGACTTCTTCAGTGACCAACACAGTGTGTGTTATGGAAATGTAAAGAACTACAAAGTCAGTCTTCTTTATTATGAAAAGAAGGACTTGAGTATAAATATAAGCGCAGCTTTGGGGTAAATGTTGTATGTTTTTATTTGTCATTTCTTCGTGATGCTCTATTGGACGTCCTGACTGTGCAGCTAAGAGAAAATCGGCGCTCAACCCAAACATTGTGTGTGCTCTTTCTTCCTCACTGCTGCATACGGACGCTCGGTCAATCACAGTAAACTCCACCTCCCCAGTGCCCCCCCACCTCTAAATGAGGGAGAGAGTTTGGTTACCCGAATCCTCCAGCTTGGTCCACCGGGGACCAGATTTCTTGGGTAGGGTGGAAACCAGTCTGTGGTTTTGCATATGAAACAATCCATGGATGCCAGTTTCTTTGTTACTGTGCTGTCGTGTTTGTGCTAATGCTGCATAATCCACTTCATTTAGTGTCCGTGCTTCCAGCCACTGCTTGTCACTTCTCTCCTTCCTGCTTTGCCGTTTCCCTTTTCTTTCTTCTCATTCTCGGGGGAAGATTTGTCTCTCACTTATGTGTGAAATTTAAATGGTTGTGTGGCCTGTAAGTCGAAGGGAAGCAGGAGAATATGAGTGCACGCGTCAGTGATCGGCTCTGTATGGTTTTTATTTAGAGTTTATAAGAAATCACATGATGTCACCAGGCAATCTTTGGCCTTTTCACTATATTTTAAATTGATGTGTTTCTCCTGCCTGAGTGGTCAAAGTAAATAACATCAACAGTATTTGGAGTGAAACATAAACAAATACTACAGGCCAGGTAACCATATAAATATCACATATGTGTTTGTCCCGATGTTGGCCTGCAGGACGCTTCTTGTAGATACTCGTTGTAACTAGTTTGTGATTGTGCTCATCAGGTAAGTGTCAGAGTGACGTTTTCTAACTATTGCAAATGGATGACACACTGATCATAAATCAACTTGAATGTTGTGATTCAAGTGGATCCACCTGAGATTTGCTGGTGCAGATGCTTTTATCCAGCACAGCTCTACATGTTTATCTGAGATGCTCTTTATCACCACGTGTCAACACATCAGCTGCAGAAAAAATAAACTGTAATTTACATAGCAGTGAAGCCAGAGCAAGAGGAGCGATGCACCCTCTGTGTCTGCACAGGTACAGTCGGGCTCGTATCCAGATACAAAGATGAACAGTCAAAGAACAGGAGACTTGCCTCACTACATGCACAAATGCACTCTTACCTGTTATATTCCATCACACCACGCGCTTAGTTTTACTTGGACTTACCCAGCGTATCTTGTTCCTCCAGTCCTGTCATTGTGGAGATCCCTCACTTCGCTGCCCTCCGAGGGAAGGAGCGCGAGCTGGTGATTCTGAGGAGCGAAACAGGAGAGAGCTGGAAGGAGCATCACTGTGAACACACTCAAGAGGAGCTCAACCAGATACTCAACGGCATGGACGAGGGTCAGTCTCCGACACTGGCTGACGACATCGCGGCGTCAAACGATAAAGGCCTGATCACGTCTTTTCTGTCTCACCTTCTGCAGAACTGGAAACTCCCGAAGAGCTGGAGAGGAAACGCATTTGCCGTATCATTACTAGAGATTTCCCACAATACTTTGCTGTGGTGTCACGCATCAAGCAAGACAGCAATCTGATTGGTCCTGAAGGAGGCATCCTCAGCAGCACTGTTGTACCACAAGTTCAGGCAGTTTTTCCTGAGGGGGCGCTGACCAAGAGGATCAGGGTTGGACTGCAGGTAAACAGAGTGTGGTTAGCTTTTATATGTTCTCTGTTTTGCTGTCATTATGTTGTTCTTAATATTCAGAGCTTTAGTTTTAAACCATGGAAACAAAACAGACTCAACCTTCTTAAGTTGCTGTGATTCATCGATGTCTTTACTAAATGGACTCAAAAGAGGTGGATAAAGCACATGTGCTGTCTGCGTACAGTTGCCTCACAGCCAGGCTTTCCTCTTGTCTCGCAGGCCCAGCCAGTGAGCATAGATGTCGTGAGGAAGCTCCTGGGGAACAAGGCCAGCTTCAGTCCCATTGTCACTCTGGAGCCGCGCAGGAGGAAATTTCATAAACCCATCACCATGACAATCCCTGTCCCCAAGAGCAACTCCGACCCCGTCCTCAACGGCTTTGGAGGGGACACACCCACCCTACGATTGCTTTGTAGCATCACGGGTTAGAGAAGCCGTAGAAAAGTTCAAATCTTAACGGGTGAAGCTGAGACGCGTCTCCACATTCTAACATTTCATGTCACGCAGGTGGGACAACGCCAGCCCAGTGGGAGGATATAACAGGAACTACTCCGTTAACTTTTATTAATGACTGCGTGTCCTTTACCACCAACGTGTCTGCCAGGTAAACCAGCTGAACCAAATATCAGCCACGGACACCAGCTCGCTCCTAACCCTCTTCTGATTTCTAGGTTCTGGCTCATAGACTGTCGGCAAGTCCAGGAATCGGTCAACTTCTCCACTCAGGTGTATCGGGAAATCATCTGTGTCCCTTACATGGCCAAGTTCGTCATCTTCGCCAAGACCCACGACCCGATTGAGGCCCGATTGCGCTGCTTTTGCATGACTGATGACAAGATTGATAAAACACTGGAACAGCAGGAGAACTTCGCCGAGGTGGCGCGCAGCCGAGATGTAGAGGTGAGAAAGGAGAGCGGAGGGAGTCTAACACCAAGTTATACAAGACAGAGTTCGGGAATGAAACCCCAATAAAATAAAAAACCTTTGAGTGGTCGACTCCAGTCTAAGAAGAAGAAATATCTAAAGAAGGATGTAAACATGTAAGATGTCAGGCGTGATTATTCCATCATGTGTGCATGTGTTACCTTTACTAGGTCCTGGAAGGCAAACCCATCTATGCAGACTGCTTTGGTAACCTTGTTCCCCTCACGAAAAGCGGCCAACATCACCTCTTCAGCTTTTACGCCTTTAAGGAGAACCGGTTAGCACTCTTCATCAAAGTGAGTCATCTTTTATTTCTTCTGAGCAAGCGCTGCGAGTGTCAGCCAATGTTCTTCGTATAACATGGAATCGGTTTAGCAATGAGCAGCTGGCTAACGTTGACCCGCTTGGCTTTGGCAGATCAGAGACAACACTCAGGAGCCGTGTGGCCGCTTGTCATTTATGAAAGAACCCAGGAACTACAGGTCACTTGCACAAAATGCTATATGCAATCTCAACATCACACTTCCATCATACTGCAAGGTAAGGATGGCGCGCCGATGCTGCTGGCGGTCGTGTGTCTTTATGAGTAAAAGCTGCGTGCTGGTTTCAGTAGTTTAACATGGAAAGTCCTCTGGTTGCTTGTAACTCTAGACCGTGTTGCAATAACACATATTGTCAATGTTCCCTCTAATGTTTCACGTGTCTGAACACACAAACTCCCTGAGCGTCGCACTGTGAGCAGCAGCAGACGTGTGCACTGTGGTCACGCCAGCATCCAAGTTACATGTTTATTAAAGTAATCAAATTACAGCATTTATGTTAGACTACTTTAAATTAACTGCTTTAGCCCACTTACAATGAAAATTTAAACAAATCTATTTCATGACCTGTAGCATGTTCACACTATTGGAAGTAAAAATAACTTGAACTCCAATTTTAAAAACATTTTCTTTTTTCTTTTTCTTTATTAATTTTTTTGCTCTGACTGTATTCTGAGTCTGTGGTCTGGGAGAGAGTCTGTAAAGTACAGTAAATAATGACCAATGTTGGGCAATTAATTATATAGTTACTTCTTCAAAAAAGTAACTGAGTTTTGCAAACAAAGCTTTTTGCAGCCGTTTACCTAAAAATGCAGCCAAGGCGTTTTTAAACAAACATTTCAAACTATTTACAGAACAATCAGCTGTTCTGCATCAAATCTGATGCCACACAGATTATTTGTGTCACAAAAAATAATTTCTGTCCACTATGAGATGAAGGAGAACA